TGTGGTGTTGGGGTGGTGTTGGGTGTGTGTTGCATGCAGGGAAGGTTGTTGGGTAGATGGGGTGTCTCTGCACTCATCCGCCCCCCTGTGCTGCAGTCATTGAGGAGGCCAACTGGCTCACATTGGAGAAGGACCTGGAGAAGCCAGGAGATGGGTTTGATGCAGTCATCTGCCTGGGCAACTCCTTCGCACACCTACCTGACTTCAAAGGTGAGTTGGGGAGGGGGGGGGGGAAGGAGTACCTATGCACGTGTGCACAGCATCGCCCAGCAGGCTGAGAACGTGCCCTAACTCATGCCATAAGTGGAGCAGTGGATTATGCATGGTGGAGTTGCTGTGTCATGGCACGTCCCCAAGGAGACAGAGAAGTTTGTGGCATGAGTGGGGCCATTGGGTTCCGTGGTGGTGGTGGAGCTGCGTGCATCTATGTCACATCTCTGGCGAGGCTGGAGACACACCTAGACTTGTGCCACAAGTGGGGTGGTGGGTTCCCCACAGGGCATGCTCTGCCCCAGTGAGGCTGAGAACGTGCCTGAGCTCATACCTTGGGTGGGGCCGTGGGTTTGCCAAGGTGAGGCTGGGGAGGGGGGGGTGGGGGAATGGTGTGGGCAGCATATGTGTGTTTATGGGCAAGATGGGGGCCCCCGTGGCTGTGCCGTGGGGTACAGCCAGTGCCTGGGGGTGCCACGGTTTCCTCCCCAGGGGACCAGAGTGACCACAAGCTGGCTCTGAGGAACATCGCCAGCATGGTGAGGCCCGGGGGTGTCCTGGTCATCGACCACCGCAACTATGATCACATCCTGGCCACAGGCTGCGCGCCACCTGGCAAGAACATATACTACAAGGTGGGTGGCTGGTGGACCCTGCCCCGTTCCATGCCCCTCTGCCCCAACCCCAGCCCCCTGGCCCTGAGGAGGGGAGTCAGGTGAGGCAGGGAGCAGGGCTGTGCCCAGGTTGGGGGCCACTGCATCCCCCTGCAGGACACAGATGTCCTCCTGCGGTCCCCAGAGTGATTTGACCAAAGACATCACCACCTCGGTGCTGCTGGTAAACAACAAGGCGCACATGGTGACCCTGGACTACACGGTGCAAGTCCCCCCCACCGAGGCAGGGGCAGCCCCGGAGCTGAGGTGAGAGGGGCTGCCGGGGTGGCTCCTGGCACGGGGACAGGTGGCTGGTGCTGTGCCCGGCTGTCCCCGCACCTCACTATCCTTGCCTCCTCGCAGCAAGTTTCGGCTGTCGTACTACCCACACCGGCTGGAGGCCTTCACAGCCCTGCTGAAAGGTGCCTTCCAGGGGAAGTGCCAGCACAGCGTCCTGGGCGATTTCCAGCCCTTCACGCCGGGACAGGCCCATGTCCCCTGCTACTTCATCCACGTTGTGAAGAAGACTGCCTGAAGGGTTCCGTGGAGATGGGACTGTGGGACTCTGGTGGCCGAGAGCTGTGCGTGGCGCTGGGGACAAGCATGGGGCTGGGAACATCGTTGAGAGCCACCTGGGAGGCCCCCCTCCCTTTAATTAAGAGCACTCATGAGAGCTACTGGAGCCCGTGGTCCTGTGTGCGTGTATGGGCAGGGTACGGGGCGAGTGGGACGGCTGCAGCTGCCTCAGGACTCCCAGGGAAGGAAGTGCCCAGCCTGGACGGAGCATGGGCTGCGTGCAGGCACAGCTTCACCTCTGAGCCCCCAGCTACAGGTGCCAGTCATGCCTGTGGTGTGGGGTTTGGGGCTCCCCTTGAAGCGGACACAAGGGTGGGCTGGCTCCTGGGTGGCTGCATCTCCCTGCCAAGCCCACTGCAGCACGGCTCACAGGGGTGCGTGCCAACCGGTTTTTCTCCCTTACATGCCACCAACCAGGCACTGACCTCTTTTCTTCACCCTCCTGAGTCCCATCCAGGGGTACCCACCCCCCCCGGGGGGCTCCCAGGGTCGGGAGGCTCTGCACACCCCACCAGCTTTTCCTGTGGCTGCAGCTCCCTCCTTGCCCGCCCTGAGGAAGAGGTGGGAGCCATAGCCAGCAATGTGTTGCGGTCAGGGACAGCTTTGCCTGAACACGCTCAGGTGCCAGAGTTGGAGCAACAGGGCTCGAGGCACGCGTCAGCTGGGTCTTCGTGCACAAAAATGCCTGCAGCTGCTGCAGAACCAGCCCTTCGGGGAGGAGCTCGGTGGGGAGCTGGTCCTCCCCAGCCACACTTGGCTCCCGGA